ACAAGGAGTACGAAAAGGCAAAAAAAGGAAGAAAGAAGGTTATCGCGCAAGAGTGCGTTGACGCCATTAGGAGCAACGGAGGCCTATTTCTAAAGCAGGATGGCAACAAGTGGTTTGTAGTGGACATTGAGGTTGCCATCAAGAAAGTCGGTGCACTTTTTCGATCACTTCGGCTAAGGAAAGCTGGGCCAAAGTAACCTTCACGAATCAATGCCTTCACGATTGACTTTTGGAAGGATCTAATCAGTCGCACTGAATATGATTGCTTGCAACAAGCAGATTCCAGTGCGAGTCCGATTTCATTATGGCACCGTCCTAGAATCACTGCAACATTTTCGGGTAAATGGAATGATTCAATCGACCAAGCAGCTTTCTATAGTCAATAGACATCGCGAGTTATCTGAGCAGTTGAAATGTTGTCGAAGCCTAGAGCAAAGCGGAATATGGACGTTTCTAAAGTCCTATTCGTCATCAATTGTGAGTGCTCTCGGCACAAGATATGCTTTTCAATAAGTGCATTCTTACAAACTATGATTTATTAATATCTCTACACCCATACACAGTACTGCAGTAACATATTTTAAAAAATACTGTAAAATAACTCCCCCTAATTCAAAACAAATCACAGCATTCGCCCCAAAAATTGACGAGGGACAATTTTGGATCTACAGAGTACCTGGTACCCGTGCGTGTTTCATGTCGCACACGACGGGCTATCTGCGCTTGCGGTCCCTCGAGAGAAAACAAAAAGTCTCAAAAACACGATTAAAATACCGCACTGTATCTTATATTCGTAAGAAGGAGACAAACACAACGGCGCCAGTGCTGTAAAAAGCAACCTAATCTCTTGTAATATGAGTGACAGTGCGACCTGTTTTGTGGCAGCGAATTACTCTCAGAGTCCGGATGCTGTTACCGACACTAGCATCACGCTAGTCAATAACAACAAGATTGCCAATGTCTTTGCCAAACAAATTCCACCAAATGCGTCAGATCTTAAAACCGCCGATTCCTTGA